CGTGTTATGAAAGGTAAATGGAATTTTAATCAGAGCATTGTTTATTTCTTTTGTCAATAATGTCTTTTTATAAGCAACCGGATGTGTAAAGTTATTTATTTAAAAAAAAAACCTTTGTTTCGAGGCACTTGGAATTTTTCTTTATTAAGTTGAATAATTTGAAATTATGTAATTTATTATGAGTTATTTCATGACGCTTTTCTGCTAATCTAAGATTGCTTTTTGAAATGGTTTATTTATTTTATCAAGCGTTTCTTATTGCTAATGCATTAGATTTTATGAACTAAGTTTTTTGAAGGTAATTTTTTTTTTCTCCTTCCTGTGTGGGTGTAATATTTTTGATATTTTCTCCCTCTAAACTTTTAATTTAACACCTAATATCTATCCCCGTGACAAAATTGCGGCGACATTGCCTTAGAACGTTACTGAGTTTTTGCGGAAAGATTTTTCATTTGGGAAGGGAAAAAATTTTTGTTTTCCTTTCTGCGGAATTTTTTTTTTTTTTTTCAGAAATGTCTTTTTTGAGCAGGTAAGAAATAATCATGATTTTTCTATGCTCATTTGAGATTTCAAAGAGAACCGCTAGAATTTCAAATTAATAACTTTAAATTAAAAAAAAAATTCAGAAATCGCGAAAGTTTAAAAGATAGTTCGCTCTAGAAATTATGTTTTTTCTTTTATTTTTTTCTGTAAAGAACACCATGTTTTACATGCACTTATTTGAGTATCTCTAGGGGTCCGTTAGCGGACCCTTCAGAAAATATTTTATCATAAAAACGGACCCTTCACTAAATGATTTTTCTTTTAATCGGACCCTTCACAAATTTGTTTTTCTTCATTATTGTTTCGTTTATCTAATTAACCATTCCCAAGAGAAACATTTTTTTTTAAAATTATAATTTTATAGTGTTTTCTTTTATAGTGTTCCCTACTATTTGCACAAATTCATAGAAGCAGGACCCTGGTTGAAAGAATGTCACTTAACGTTTATTTTATATTCACAAATTACCAGTAATTTTTCACTATTTTACAAAAACAAGACCTTTCACAAAATGTCTGGACAGACCCCTGATCTCTTTTTTTTTTTTTTAAAGAGTGTAAAATTTTTATTCGCGTGATTCATGACCTTTATTTTTGAAATTACTGCATGGTTTTTACGATTTTTAATTTATGTACGAATTTTAATTCATCATCGTTTAATTTATTTACGAATTTTAATTTGTGTAATGATTTACAAAATTTGAAAGAGGAAATAATTAGTGCATTTTTCCGCATGCAAAATACGAGAATATCGATTATAATATCAGAATTTAAAAAATATTACTTTTACAATTAAATTTTTTCTTATACATTTGTATTCTGTACTTTTTTTCTGTAAACACAACGTTTCTGTTACTTTATATTAGTAATAGTTATAATTACGATCACAGAAACCCCGAAAAAATTCTGCCCACATGGATATCTATTATTTTATGATGAAAAGCATGGGATGATGAAAAAAAAACTTCTTTTTAAGGTAAATACTGATCTTAAGGTTCTCAGGTGCTCCCATCATATCTCTCCTCTTATATTTTATTCTAAAACCGTCGTTGAACAGCCGACCCAATTTCGGGTTTACGACTACCAATGTTCAACTTCGTAGCATTGTAATTTTGAACAAATCCAGAAGACAAGGAAACTCCTGGATGAGTACCCCCCCCCCAGAGGTATGATTTGTTATGGGAACATGGACTACTTTGTGACTCAACAGGTTTAACTGCATCAGTCACCATTTACTACACGGGGAGTCTTCGGCCGGCAGGGACCGATCCCGCGACCTTTTGAACGTGGGCCCAGTGCCCTACCAACCAGGTTATCCCGGCCTCCTCCCCTTATAAAGATTTTACATAGCGTTACGGATTTCCAGCTAACGCTATTTGAGCTTCCCTTCGCATGCGCATAAGTTTTCCAACAAATTACTAAAGAGTGAAAAAAAATCAAGTAAGAATTACGGTTAATGTCAGGGGTCTGTTTAGAAGAAATTTGGGTCCGTTAACGGACCCTTTACAAAATATCTTTTCATAAAAACGGACCCTTCACAAAATATTTTAACTTAAAAACGGACCCTTCACAAAATATTTTAACTTAAAAACGGACCCTTCACAAATTTGTTTATCTTCATTATTATTTTGTTAATCGAATAAACCCTTTCCAGGGCAGAAAACAAGAGATGGATGTAAATGAATTAAGTTTTGTCTTCGGCAGACGATTCTTCCATTATTCGTCCGAAATGAATATTGTGCGTTCAGCAGTAGAGGCCAAATACCAAATATTTGTATGTTGCATCTCTAATTTAGAAGCAGCAATTGCTGTTTATTTTCTAAAATTTAATTTTTTTAATTATAATTTTACAGTGTTGAGCATAATCTTATATGTCTTTACAATTTAAAAACTCCTTGGAAAGGTTTTTTTTTTGCAATAACGGACCCTATTTGCACAAATTTATAAAAGCGAACCCTGGTTGAAAGAATGTGAGTAATTTTTTCACAATTTCACGAAAAACGGACCTCTTACGAAATGTCTGGACAGACCCCTGAGTGTATAACAAACGCTATGCAAAATATCTGTATCACCCTTTGATAAGCTTACTTTGAGTACGCAATTTTTTTTTCATGTTTAAAGCATAAATGTTATTTCCAGCAATAAATATGGGGGGATATTTCCATGTCGTGATCTGTCGCGCCAACTACAATCGCCAAGGTGCCAAATAGATTTTAAACTAGCAAATTTTATTTTAAAAAAAAACCATGTCGATGTTTTCCCAGGGTTGGCTACGAGTTATACATTTCGAGTTGGTCCTTTTCTGTGATGTTTTTATTCATTTCTCGCGGGCCGCTGCCCGGAAGTTGCCAAGACTTGGCGGTTATCCTGCCACAGATCACGATACGGAAATCTCCCCAAATATGGGACATCGATAGCGAAATAATCACAGAAACTCATATAATTCAGGAACAGAGTATAATTCTGTGATATCATTGGAAGGTTAAGGTGTTTTATTACTCCCTTGCTGTACCTTACGCTTATCAATTAACCTCTAAATGCCAATCGTTATAAGAGTGGGGGGAACTACATTTTGTCACCAAAATACTCAAGCAATTGATAGATTAATGAAAGTAGATGATCCCGTTCATCCCAGTCGGTCTAACATTTCTATTGAAACTATTTCGTATTAAAATAATACAATTTAATTCACGGAAATGACAAAAATAGACTTGTAAATTCTGTTCTATGCGTTCTCGGTTTTCAGGACGGGGGCACGATTTATGCTAATTAAGGTGAAAACGTTTCTTTTTAATTTGTTATTTACTTGTTACTAGTTTTTAAAAACTGAAATTCCAAAATTTGGTTTTAGTTTTATTATCTCCACTGTAGCCGTTTTTAAAAGCTAAACTTCCAAAATTTGGTTTCAGTTTTATTATCCCCACTGTAGCCGTTTTTTAAAACTGAATTTCCGAAATTTGGTTTTAGTTTTATCTCCACTGTAGCCGTTTTTAAAAGCTAAACTTCCAAAATTTGGTTTCAGTTTTATTATCCCCACTGTAGCCGTTTTTGAAAACTGAAATTCCAAAATTTGGTTTTAGTTTTATTATCTCCACTGTAGCCGTTTTTAAAAGCTTAACTTCCAAAATTTGGTTTCAGTTTTATTATCCCCACTGTAGCCGTTTTTAAAAACTGAAATTCCAAAATTTGGTTTTAGTTTTATTATCTCCACTGAAGCTGTTTTTAAAAGCTAAACTTCCAAAATTTGGTTTCAGTTTTATTATCCCCACTGTAGCCGTTTTTAACACTAAGCATCAAACACTTACTAACCTATTTCTACCGTAGCCGGTCAAATAACCGGAATTTATGTTTCTTGATTGAATGTATGAAACATGGATGTTAGGAAGGAAATAAACTAAAAAAAACTTTTTACAAAATGTGTTATTACATTAAACAAATATTACATTAAACAAAATTTTATATTTCCAAATTTTATGTACTACAAACACAAAGAATAAGAATTTTTATTTCATTGCTCAGCACATTTTTTACATATACAGGGTGTTTCCATTAGACATTTTCCGCAAATATATTTCTTCTAGTTATTATTATTTCTATAATTCTTATAAGTATGTATAAGAATTATAATTATTCTTATAATTAATATTATTTCTTCTAAGAAGTTGTGCTATCTTGATTGTTCCGACATTTTTCTGGGTAAAAACTTAACAGTTTAGAAATGAAGTAAAGCTATCAAAATAAAATATAAGCTACTTACCAAAACATTTGCTTTTTGTCACTTTTTCTGACACAAGAATGCCAATTTAAAAATTTAGGTACTTTCTTGAAATTTGAATTCAGTTATTCTGATTGAACTACGCAACAGTCTTTGCAGAAATGTGTAACTAATCGAATGCAATACTTTGAGCCCGCATTACATTGTAATTTCTGATCCGATAACCTTATAAGGTAATAAATTATTCTCCCGGTCAAATGACCAGTTGTGGAAGCAAACGAAATACAAAAAAATAATGCTAATGGAATATTAGCTGTAAATAATTGTTAGAAAAAGTCAGGAAGTCAAATGCGCAAAAACGATAAGATAAGCGCATTTTCGATGCAAAAGTTCTTAAACGGTCATTTGACCAGTTATGGTATGTATAGTGTTAAAAGCTGAACTTCCAAAATTTGGGTTCAATTTCATTATCCCCACTGTAGCGTTTTTAAGAACTGAACTTCCAAAATTTGGGTTCAATTTCATTATCTCCACTGTAGCGTTTTTAAGAACTGAACTTCCAAAATTTGGGTTCAATTTCATTATCCCCACTGTAGCGTTTTTAAGAACTGAACTTCCAAAATTTGGTTTTAGTTTTATTATCACCACTGTAACGTAACGCGCGTTTAAAGAGGAGGCACGTTGCTTTTATGTATTTTTTGTTCGCTCATTCTTGTGGCCTAATTCCTTCATTTTTTTGTTCCAGGTACAATGCTGGTGTTCTTGCTCTCTCTCTCATCCCAAATCCACCAAATCCTCTCTCAGGGTCCTGAGGGATACTTCACCAGTTCATCTTACGCATCCCTCAGCACCATGTTCGATGTTCGAGGCAGGACTTCTTTAAGTTTTAGGACTTGTTCTAGTGGACAATTATTGTACCAAGAAGGAAACACCGGTGATTTTGTGAACATGACACTCTTGCCTTCGGACACTCTAGAGTTCTCGTGGCAGGTGAACAGGCTTCGCCATTCCGTGACAGTGGGTGCCAATCTCATAGACAATCGCTGGCACGATGTCGATCTCATCTACCAGACAGGATCTGTGACTTTGTATGTGTCCAGGAGTAGTGTGGTGGTGTCCAATGGCACTCACAACAGCGATCTGTTCGACCTGAGGCTGGAGAGCTCCCATCCTCAGTTGCTCGTTGGAAGAGGCTTCACTGGGTGTGTTCTTCAAGGTGCTGGTGTCCTCCTCAACGATTCCAGTGTGTATTCTTATGAAGTGGACTGGGGAAGGTGTCCACTGCCCTTGACTGGTAGCTGCGGTAGGTTCTTTTTTTAAAAAAACTATTTTGGAGAGGAAAACAAAAAGAATGTCTTGTGGCGTAACTTCCACTATAAATATTAAGCACCTATTTACTAGTATCTAAGGCATGTTAACTCGAATCTATCTTGAGGTACCTGAAGGTTGACATAATCGATAATAATATCTTCTCATTGGTGACCCGGACGTTATATGAACTCGTTAACATCGATGGATGGTCCACGTTAAATAGTTGATTTACTTAAAATATAGCTCTCAAAAAAAGTCTGGTGAAGTAAATAAGTCTCCCGGTCAATAAGCAACATTGAATGAAAAAAATAATGAGCAAAATGATATAAATAAACAAAAATGGAGAAAAAAATATAATGTGCAAAAAGATATAAATAAAAAATAATAGTTAAATAAATAAATTAAAAAACAGCAGAAATCAACTAGTGGTATTCGATTCATCGAATTCTATCACAGATAAAATTGTGGAAGGGGAGTAATGTGGCGTAACTACCACTACAAATATTAAATACCAATTCACTAGTATATAAGACATGTTAGCTTTATTCCACTATGAGGTATCTTTCGATAGATAAAGGTTGACATCGTCTTTAAACTCTCCTCAGTCTTAACAGCGTTTTTCGTGAGTTAACTGTCTTACACTCGAGGTAAAGCTACTGTTTTAAACATTTACAAATACAATATTGCCGTAAAGAATTATCTAAGCTTTGGAAGGAACAAATAACTTTAATGTAAAAGTAAATTTCGAGGTGTCTGCCTTCCCACCTCATAATTCTTGATGGTCCCATCGAAATATTTTGATGGTTTATTTTGGGTTTCAGTACAATTCATGATGGTCCAACATAATTTGATGGTCACAATCAACTAACATTTTCCATTCTACAGTCATGGTATTTGATATGCCAACAAACTTCCATGATGAATAATGCTTCTTTAATTCTAAAATTGAGATAATATTGAATATATCTTCCCTTTATTTTGCACTTAAGCTTCGCTTTTGTATTTTAAATTAAATTCAACTAAAATTCACAATTGATATTTTTACATATTTTCGTTACATTTGGGTAGGCACATTTCGACATTTTCTTCTTTTAAAAAAGGTACCGTCAGAATTGCTGTAGACCAGTGGTTCTTAACCTATGGGTCGCGACCCACAATTGGGTCGCGAAGCATATTTCTTGGGTCGCGCTGAGTCGAAGCAAAAAAGTTAGTAATACACCAAATAATAAGTAATATCAACACCTCCTAGAAGAAGTCATTGTGGCTTACTCAGCCTAATTTTGACTTTTTTTGGGGTCGCGACATGAACATATTTCTCAAATTTGGGTCGCGGCTTAAAAAGGTTAAGAACCACTGCTGTAGACTATTAATACATTCATGATTCATCATATTCATTATTTAAATAAATAATAATAACATTCTGCGAATAACAAAATGTAAAATTAGTTGAAATATTTTCTATTTAATATCACTTTTAATTAATATTTATTTTTTAAAACTTGTTTTTTTTTTTTATTTAATACAGTATGACTTAAACAAAAATATTTTACATAATTTATTCACTAAAAATATTGAGAGTAATTTAATGAAAGTAAAGGCTTTATTTTGGCGAACATGCGCTGGTAAGTACGGTTACTACAAGTATTCAAAATACCCCCTTGGCTCCATTTCTCTGAAGCTTGGTCCAGATGTGTAAATATGGAAGAGGTCAAAGGTTGTTATATATCTCACAGTTTCCCCCTCTTGCGCAATTTATGTTCATTCATCATTCCATGATGAGAAATGCTTCTTTAATTCTATGATGGTTAACCATCAAGCGAAAGTTTGATTCTCATTAACCAACAATCCGTGATGGTTCCAACTATACATTTCTATGATGTTTTAATAGGAATTCTTGTTTGATCTCAGGAATTTGGACCATCATAAATGAGTCCGAAGTCCTACGTTGGAGTGATGGTGGTTCATGATTGTTCCAACATTTGATTTGAACAAAGCATCAAAACAAATTGCTATTCTTATGTTGGACCATCATAAATCAGTCCGAATTCCTACATTGGGGTGATGGTTACTTATGTTGGCTACCTTCAAGATTATGTTGGTCGATCAATGGAAAACCATCAAAAATCTTGACTTTGGTCACGGCACCTGCCTCTTCAACTAAGTTTTTTGCCATGGACAACGAATGAATTAAGTCTGAGTTATAAGTACAATAATGGTAATTGTAAGCAGGGGTCTGTTTAGAAGAAATTTGGGTCCGTTAACGGACCCTTCACAAAATATCTTTTCATAAAAACGGACCCTTCACAAATTATTTTAACTTAAAAACGGACCCTTCACAAAATATTTTAACTTTTAATCGGACCCTTCACAAATTTGTTTATCTTCATTATTATTTTGTTATTCGAATAAACCCTTTCCAGGGCAGAAAACAAGAAAGATGGATGTAAACGAATTAAGTTTTGTCTTCGGCAGACGATTCTTCCATTATTCATCCGAAATTAATATTCCGCGTTCAGTATAGGCTAAATACCAAAGATTTGTATGTTGCATCTCTAATTAGCAGCAATTGTTGTTTATTTTTTAAAATTTAATTTTTTTAATTAAAATTTTACAGTGTTGAGCATAATCTTGCATGTCTATACAATTTAAAAACTCCTTGAAATTTTTTTTTTTTTTTTTTTGCAATAACGGACCCTATTTGCACAAATTCATAAAAGCAGACCCTGGTTGAAAGAATGTGAGTAGTTTTTTCACAATTTCACGAAAAACGGACCTTTCACAAAATGTCTGGACAGACCCCTGGTAAGAAAAAGACAAATTCCGAATAATATAATATATTTACAAGAAAGAAAAAAGAATACAGTCGGACCTCTATTTAACGAACTTCCTTTTTGCGAATTTCTCTATTTTACAATTTTTTTCGAGGAAGCAAGAACATTTTAGAAATTTCTTCGTAAAATAACTGCCAAATAGCGAAGTGAATTTTCTATTTAACGAACTTTCCCTATTTCTCTTTCCCTATTCCCTATTTCTCAAAAATTTTCAGAACATTTCAAACTTGTTAATGCAATTTATGGGCAAATGACCTTGAGTTGATTTTCGAAGCCGCCAACCATTGGGAGAAAGCATTAAAATCCCTTTCTCTTTTTGTTTGCATTTCAAGCGAAAAACTCAGGCAAAATTAACTGATTTTTATCAGTGGCAATTAAACCTAAGAACATATGTGGTAATACATGTTTAAAATTACTTTCATAATAAAAGCAACCATAATTTTATACATAAATTTACCTTTTTTTAGTTCAAAATGTCAGTAGCATGATAGTGTAACACTGGATAATGTTTTGCTCAATTCTTGCTTTCCATGCAGATTTCTTTTATGGTTAAGATTTATAAAATAAATAACAGATACTAGTTTACAAGATAAAGTTGTATCAATTGCTACTTTACTTATGTCTAGTGTTTATGAATTTAAAACCTGTTTTGTGTTGTTTAAGTATTTCAAAAGATAATTTTCTATTTAACGAATTTTCCATGTAACGAACTTATTATCGGGATTTAGCGACTTAGTTAAATGGAGGTCCGACTGTATTTACAAGTAGCGAATCGAATGAGATGTTCGCAATTAATCAAAATCACTGACTAATACGGGGGTAGACTACATCATCCCTCCCTCCCTATTGGACTTCACAAGTGCACATTAGGACGACTCGTCTATTGGAATTAAATATTAAATCAGGAAAGAGCAAATACGTTTATGGGTTACGAGATTTACCAGTCGTGGAGTTTTAGCACTGGATTATGTGACCGAACATACTCATTTCGTAACGCTCGTCGGTCAAACTCGAAATAAAGCTTTCATTTTATACCATATGTGCTGTGCGGAAAAATAATTCAGCAGTCTCTAAGAGTTATCATATTTAAAAGAAAAATTTCTTTTTAAAAAAATGCTAGTTTAAATTGATTTTTCAATTCATACTATTAGTTCACTATTAGATGACAATTGATGTTAATACAGTTTTTTGAAATATTAATTCATTAATTAAATTTAAATAATTAATTTTAGTTTTATATGGGATAAAAAAATTTTCCTTGTTGACCTAAGTAGGAGTTGACATTAAATTTTTGTTTATTTTCTTCTTCACATATTACTCGCTTTTTTCAACTAGATAAAAATTATTAAAATCAATGAATCATTCATTATTAAGTTAGTTTTTGCCCAAACAATGCAGAATATTACAAATTTATCAGTTATCAAAACTATTGTTTTATGATAAGAATATTGGGATGATTCATAATATAATTGACAGTCTTTTATTAAACGGGACATTGTTTAAATGATAAGCACAATTTTTAGAATTAAAGAATCGGCACCTGATTAACAATTAACTTAAATACCGTAACTTGGCATTTATTTACTTTTTTTTTTTTTTTTTTTTTTTTTAAGGAATTCTTCGTTGAAAACATATTGTTTAACAAATCTGTTTTAATTTTTGCACCATTGCAATCTTCATTCAATCCACTCTTACACTTACGACAAATCTTTTTGTTTAAAGCCATGTTTTCTTTTAATTTTATAGTTTACACTTCTTTAGAATTTATTTAATCGATGCTTGAATTTTTTGAAATTTAAAAAAAAAAAAAAAACGTCTGAAGCATAAAGATATTATATACATAGTTTCATAAATGGAATTTATGTTTTTCACGTAATACATGTAATTGTCACTTTTCAGAACTTTAAGTAATTTAAAGTTTTCAATAGAATATTTCAGATTCTGTCTACCTTAATTATAGCTTTCCATTTTAGAACGTGATTTCGGTAATTGCCATATCGCTATAAGGGCTATATTTTAACACAGTATCATTTTTTTAATCCAAAAATGCAGTGTCCTAATTCTCTTTGACACTGTTAAAATCTTTTTAGAATGTCAATTAGTCATTTAACATTGCAGATAAAAGTAAGAAATCTCGTGAAAACGTAACAATAGGTTGTAA